GATGTATGAACCAAAGAAAGGTGAACAGGATCTGATATTCTGTTCTCGAGAAATAATTGGACAAGCTGTGGTCTGGCCAGCATTTTGGGGAGAGGATTGGGAATGAAATGAATATTGTTATCTCTGCCATAAGCAAATCACAGTCTCCTAAAGTGAGTTTGTAGGTGCCTTCTGTACTGGAAAGAGACATCTTCTCACGTTACTCTGCCCTCTGGAGAGCCGTGGAAATAACCAGTTTTCAAGTAGCAGTAGTTGAATATTACGTAGCCAACAGGTTCGGCTGTTGATATTGTGGAAGGTTGTTACTGACGCCATATGTCCTCTGGTAATGACATCCCGGTTCTGGAAACACAGTCTTCTCTTGCGTCATCTGCACAGGTCGTTAGAGACATGACTTCTTGGTGTGTACTGAATCTTGAAGGGGCTATGCTCAAGCTGTGCAGTATCTGAGGAAGATAGTTCTTGGCTTTCCTCGTGGTACCTCCTGTATCCCAAGCAGCTGGTTCAGGGCAGTGAAAAATCTATGGATTTTTTTTTTTTAACTTCGAGTAGAAAAATCAAGTGCAGTTTCTGAAAGTGTTTAGCAGAGCAAGGGAATGGCTATGGGCTGTATCATAGCTTTCACATCTCCTGGGACCACAGCTCATCCCTCCCTCTGTCTTGAGAAATGCCGTTCCTGTTCCCCCTTCTTCCCTGCTAGTTAGCGTTGAAGTGACAATAGACAGGGGAAGGTGGGTTGTAAGGAGAAGAAGGAACTGATGACCCCTAGATTAATGTGTAGAGAACAAGCAGATGCTGTTTCCTAAATGTGCAATTGTTGGCAGAAACTAAGCAAAACTGGGTAAGACAAACAGCACACATTATTGTTTGTTAGGTGAGTGAGGTGTGTCACTGTCACCCCCATAACAAAGGCTGGAGGTGCCTTTGGAGCATCGTTGCATCTGGCTGACCTCATAGGAATTATGGTTGGGAGTGTTTGGTTTCATGAGCGTTTAGCTATAAGCTGTAGACTCTGGTTCTGAAAGTAGGTCCCAGAACATTATCTGGTGCCTTTTATTAACTAAGATTTGGCATGTGTGAGGAGTTTTTGCCTGGGACAGCTATCCTGATGTGCAGAGCGCTGCCGTGTCTTCCACCTGCATCTGCATCTGAAGAACGTCCACGAGTGTCACCTCCTGCACAATGTCACCGATGTTTGTGCAGTGAAGTATTTCTTAGCAAACACCACTGCAGCCTTGGACTCCACTGCCTTCCAGATCATTCTCAAGTATAAATCACCCATTTGGTTTTGACCTAGAAAGCTCTGCATGTTACGTATCTGTACCTGAGAAATTGCCTCCCGCCTTACTGAGGGTCTGCTACCGATCATACATAAATTACACGGGAAGGGGACTGGGGGGGGTGTTGTCCTCTGTAGGACGGCTTGGACTTGTTTGTGCTCTTGGTCCAGGAAAGCATAAGTTGTTAACCACAGGCCTCCCGAGCTTTGGGAAGTGTGCGTGAGGGGCAGGGGCTTAGAGGAGGTGGTTTCTGCCCGCTCCGACGAATCTGTTTATATCTGTCCATCTCACGTAATTCTCTGGCACCTATTGCCTTGGTAGCTAAGCATGTTTTTTGGATGGCCATGGCTTTTTTTCATCTTCTTCTCTTTTTAATAGTCTTTTCTCCTTCCTTTTAAATAGGTCTTTAATAAAGTTGAGAATTCTTGCACAGGGTTTTATAAACATGTGTTATTAAATTTTAAATCTGTTTTGAAAGTGCCTCTACCCTACTCCCTCCTAGTAAAGTGACCTTTTTAAATGGAGGGAAGTGGGTTTAGATGACAGTCATGATAAATGCGGTCATGTTCACTCAATAAAATAAGGCCCAGTGCATTTGAGGATAAATCAGTGAAATGTACAGCCCCACCTGTCTGTCTCCATCATTCATTTCCACTGTCACTTTCACAGTGGCTGATGGATCACAGTTGCTGTAAAATTAGACAGCCTTTAATCTCATTTCATCCTGATTAGCTTCTCCTTACCCTTTCCCTCTAACTCACTGACTGACACGCTAAAAACTCACACCAGGCTGTGTCTGAGCGTGGCGTACAAACTTCTCTTCAAATACCCTTTTTGCGGGGCAGGCAGGTGTTCCACTAAGTTGAAATCGAAAAATGAGAAGATGGGATTTTCACATTATTAAAGCAAAACAGCAGACAAAGGCTCGTATAAAAATAATTAAAGCAGCAGCCTGGCCAGACTGTGTGATGGGCCAAATTCTTCCTGTTACACCCTGGCAAGCCCAGTGAGTTTGAGAAGATTGTTTCTACTAGAGGCTGAATTTAGCATGCTCATTGCTGCATAATTTTGACTCTATCTATGAAAAGTTATGTCCTATATGGGTGTGTGTTCATAAGGAATTACGGTTTACAACACAAGCGTTCAAGGGTGCGTTCAAGGGGCATTTATAAAACGCAGTAAAAAAAAAATCGTTCGTTCCCATAGTTTTGATTTCTATGTGTAACTCACGATTCTGAGGGACCCTGAAAATGGTCAGGGAGAAAGACTGCAATGCTGGCGATTTCACAATTTCAATGCCAAAACTCCCTCTTACATGTCCACAGCGTTGTTCCATCCTCCTTGTTTTGTCCAGCCCCTTCCAGCCCCATGGGCAGATTCATGAGACCAAGAACAGAGTCTTCCCCAAAGCTCTGTGCGAAACAAAGGTCATAATAAAGGTCTGCAGTGTTTTATTGCAGTCACCTTTCCTTTTGAAGCCCAAATACTACCTTCCTTTCTAAGGCAAGCTTCCCTTTAGCTTTCCTGTGAGTTACGGGTGGTAGTTCGGGTCATTTGGGCCCAGTCCCGTTATCAGTGGGAATGTTGCCATCAAGTTAAGTAGGAGCCAGGATTAAGCCCTTAGTTTTCAAGGTTTAATTATCATCATAAGTGTGGGAGTCTTATTGCATAGTTCATATGCATAGGAACAGCAGAAAAGCTTAAAATATAATTTCTTCCTCTACTGGCCTTGTTTGTGTCAATATGGAGGATAAATAAACAAAAGTGTCTGTAAAAATGAAAACACAACATGTGAAAAATATGCATGTGTGCTGCCTGCAGACAGTTCTTCTGATAAATGCTAGATCTCTCCAGATTGACCAAAGGAAGAGCCTGGTTGAGAGTACAACCACTGGCTTGGACCTAATTTGAAACCATAATAGAGCACTGAAGAATTGAAGCCCTGCAGACTGATCCTGGGGAGTCTCTTCATGAGAGGAGGGGTCCCAAAAAGCATCTAAGGAAGACAGCAAATTTCCCGTGGGAGACCCAAATTCATTCTGTAGTACAAGCATCCACAGAATCAAGGAAAGTACTGGGGTTTTGAGAGAGAGAATTGTAAAATGGGAAAATGTATGAGATTAAAGAATGAGATAAATACATGGGGGCTAAGAAGATAACAAAAATCTTTTTGCTCTTTCATCCCACTGCAGGAATCTATAGGTAGTATAAAATCTTATGCAGTGCCTAGTATAGGATTACTTCCCAGTTATATAAAGTGTACTAGTAACAAATAACCTTAATTAATGAACTTTCACTGTACCTGGCTGCCCAATTTAAGAACTGCTTCACTTACATGACTTGTAAGAGCACAGACTATGAAAATGATATTCGACCTTTACTAGAAACTAAAAATGTACCTTACTTATTCATCATTGCCTTGGCAAAAACTTCAGTAAGAAGCTTAAATGAGCCCACTTGATCTTTAAGAAAATGTCCTAAATAAAAAAGCTGTGCGTATTTCTTATTATTATTATTTGCATATGCTATATTGCACAACTGCATTCTGAGAAAAATAAAAGATAATAAAACAAATGAAATGAGAGATATATCACCCAAAATAATCCAAGTGTGAGATAGGCTGCCTCTTTTTTTTTTTTTTTTTTTGGCATTGGCAAAAGAGCACAAAGTAAGAGCTGGCCCTGAGTCATATTGATTTCCCACTGCACTGGTTTCCTAAGTGCTCTGTTGATCCGTGTCAAGCAATAAGTTCCCTGCCTGTACATGCACATCACCTCCCCATTTGTCCTCACCTAGATTTAAGGTGCCCATATGATGAGCTGAACAAGGACATCATTTTTCCTACTGGTGTCACTGGGCCAAAACTACTCTATGTGGTATGATAACTAATGCTGTGTAAGTTTACATTTACCATATAATATCACAACAGTGCTGTATGGGACACCGCAACAATGTGTGCATATTATGTATATATAAGTCCTTATTTTTGTGTCTTAGCATTTGCAGTGGAAAATGTAAATCTAAAAAAATAGATTATTGCGACTGTAGTTGGTCCATAGTAATCGCGACACCGCCAAAAAAAAGGGATATTGCAAACCTAACGCCACAGTTTTGATCTTTGTTAACAAAGGGCTTCCTGATTAGATGAATAGAAAATGTGTGATTGTGCTGCTAATGACATTGTACAGGAAATTAAGCGTATACATTTGGAAAAGGCATTAAATCAGCAGGACCTTAATTTAAAAACTTAAAACTGTATGGAAATGCAGCTTGTTCATTGCTGTGTAATAGAAAGCTACTGAACACACTGACTCTTCTTGTGGAAACATTACCAGCAGAACAAAGCTGGGCTGAGTTTTTTTAATGTTTCCTAGCATATTAGGATTCCTAGCATCTGCTTATTTTCAGGGAAATATCAGGCAACTTCACCCCTTTTTACAAGTTGTTTTTAGAGCTGCATATATGGCAGTTGGGCGGGTGGGGAGGTGCCGAGGGACCAGAATTCCAGCTTTTTTCCTCAATTATTTGCAAGATTGAATAACGTAAGATTACTAATAAGTGGCTTTGTCTGCTGCTAATTCAGTGGACATACACGCTTGGGGTGATGCATTCCCCCATTATTTCATACAGATGTAATCCCAGTGTTGTATTTTGTACCTTTGGAAATATTTGATGGAATCAGCGCCCTGAGCTGACAAAGAATTCTTGCTTTACTTGCAGTTATGCCATATAACAGTGCCCATCACTGTGTCGTGGAAGTGGAAAACTTCTTGTTTGTGCTGGGAGGAGAAGACCAGTGGAACCCTAATGGTATGTATAGAATATTAAAAGGCACAGGCAGCATCTGCCTTCCTCTGTCTGTCTGTCCATCAGGTCAGCTGATGTAGTCATTAGCAGGGGATTTTGAGGACCCTCAGCCTAATTGTTGAACCTGGTAAAGGCTACTTTTAGATATTGATGTAATAAGTATCTGGTACTTTAGCATTAGCATCTCCGTCATTCATCAGCTCCCACATCCCTTGAGAAATGCCACAGGCAGCAGAACAGACTCTTTCAAGTGCATGCACCAGGCAGCAGCTGTTAAGAATTTTAACCTTCATTTCCAGTCTCCTTCCAGTCATAATATAATAATGCAGTTGCAGTAGATGAATGCTTCCTTTCTATTGTCAAACCAGATACTCGCAGCTAAAGTTGTTAATGTGTTAATTATCTAGACTCTGAGATTCTTAAACTGGTCCTTTTTTCAGTCTTATGCAAGAGCTTCTCGTATAGATTATCTGCTGCTACCTTCTTTGATTTGATTACTTCATAAATTTACCGCAAAGAGAAATTAAACAATTTAACAGGCTTCTGAGCAAAGCAAAAGGAGAATACCATGCCTTGCGAAATTCACAAAATTGTCAAGACATTGTTAAAAAGCTTGCACACGAAGAAAGAGTTGTAGTTGTAGCAGTCTGTGTAACAGAGATAATTATGACTGAGAAACCATAAAACAGCTTGCAGGTACACATTTTTACTTTAAAACACCAGAGGATCCAGCTGAAATTACATATACTGCATATATTTTATTGTGAATGCCCCATTTCAGCATCTGCACTAAACCAAATTATAGAAAATTGTTACATCTGTTCAGTTCCTAAAACCTGAGACAAACAATTCAGTCCACCCTATAAGCATATTTCTGGTGTAGTTAAAAATATCACTAAATGTCTTAGGAGAAGAGCCCTTCAGTTCTATTGTTGGATCTCCTTTATATTAAACAGGTGATAGCGTGGTATCGTTAATGATAATCATTATTAGGAGCATCAGCCACATCCAACAACTGAGGGCCCCTGTTGTGCTTGGTGGTAGGCATATGGATAATAAGAGGCAGACCTTGTTCCAGACAGTTTATAATTAAATAGCCATGTCACATGAAAGATGAAAGAAAAGAAGTAGAATTACCTGCAATTTAAAGATGTGGAAACTGAGTCGCAAGATTACGGAGAGATGTAAGAATGGGTACATACCCTGCATCAGAGATAGGAGTCGAGCACAACTGTGAGATGGGTAATACCTTAGGTCTGAGGTCGCCTAGATCAGCTTCTCAGCTGAAGACGTTGCCATCGGATGTCTAGCAGCTTCCTTGTTCTATGAATACCAGAGCTGCTATTTGCCTATAGAGAAGATAGGAATAAAAGAGGTAGAAGCATTGCTGATACTTATCTTTTTACGAATTTACCCCAAGAGAAGTGGATCTTACTTGTCACAAAAAGTGGATCTGAAAATCATAAACTGCATCCTGTGCTATTGCTGGGTTAGTGTTTTCTTGAAACTGATTTGCTTTAAATGTGCAGCTACATGGGAGCTACTCGCCCATACCCACTTGAATTTATGTAAAGACCTTTGTCTTCTGTCCTCATAGTAGAGAAGGGGCTTCCTATGGACCTAGCTGGAACTGCCTTGCCCAGAGCATGACGAGGCTTTTGATTTGAATGAGAATGTGCCAGGTGTTTTTCCAGTGGACAGAATTATCCTTGAGATGAGGGCAAGGGAAGGAGGGCCATGCATTTCTCTAGCCATCAGACCTGCAGGTTCTTGAGAAGCCGGGTGGACCCCGAGGAGCACCCATGTACCCTCCGGGCTGCTCCTGTGACTTCATGATAACCTAGAGAGCATGGGAGACATTTTTTCTCTTTTTTTGACATCCTCCTATGGCTGTGCCTTTCCAGTCACAAGGATCCCCACATGTGTAAACCTCCTGACTGATGAGCAAGGCAAAATAATAGATATAGTTGTCTTGCAAACTGTCCAAAATTAAACTGGAGTCAAACCAGTTACACCAGGCACCTTAAGTAGGTCATCAAGTCCTTTTCCTGCCATCACAGGCATCATATAGTCCCATTTTGTATATTTTCTAAGCTCCATTCGAAAAGCAGTTGGATTTTTAGTCCCTACTACTCCTGTTGGAAAGCTGTTACAGAATCCAATTGCTCTAAATGACTAGGAGCCTTATTCTAATTTCCAGTAAAATGTATTCTTTGACTGTCTAAATCACCTTGTTCTCATGCCAAAGTTGGCCTTTAGCTTAATAGTTTTTCCCCTCCTGGAGATTTGTTCCTCTGATGTATTACAGACAGCACTCCTATCCCCTTTCAGCTTTTGTTTTCCTAGGTGCAACAAGCCAAGTTCTTTGTCTCCTGACATAAGGTAAACTTTCTGTTCCTCCTGTCACCAGAGTAGCTCCTTTTTGTGCCTGTTCTAGTTTGATTTCATCGCCCTTCCTGTGAATTGACTAGATTTGTATCCTGTGTTCCCACTCTAGGCTCACTAAACCCTTCTCTTTCTACCCTGCACTATACAGTCTTCTACATACATGGTATTTGTAGTGGATATGTGTATGACACGTTATGTTAGGAGGCCAAGGTCCCCAAATCATAGCTTTGTATGACAACAATTAAAAAGCTGTTGTATAACCAGTGACCGCTAAAGTCCCCAGTAACCTGAAAGATGGAATGAATACGGCAGCATTAAAACCTCCTCCTAGAAGTCCAAACTTATGATCAATACATATATTGTTTTGAAATCCCGCTTTTTGAAATAGAAATAGATTAATAAATGTCCTAAATAGTGAGATCTAGAGCCAGTTAGGTGCCTGCTGTTTCTGTTTTACTGTATTGAATCTATAGTTCTCAATGCCTCTTTTTCTAAATTGTATAGACTGAAGGAATTCAGGTAGAGACCAAGAGCAAAGCCTTACTTCCCTAAACCCAGTGGCAAAATGACCAGTTGCCCTTAGTGTATGGGGATCTCGCCCTATGTCTTGAGATGTGTTTGAATGGTGCTCAGCATAAAGGGCTTTGGTCCTCATTAGGCACCACGCTGGATTTGAAGGGAAATACTCCATTATTCATCAGTCTTCTGCTTTACCTTCCTCATATAGGACATGCTTATAACATAGCGAGGGAATGAGTTTGCTTCCAGCCAGAGTGGTCAACATGGTTTCTTTCTCTGTTTTCTTGTAGAACATGATCTTAAATTATTACGAATATAAATTCTAGCTGTATCGTTATTCTTCTCTACAATCTTGATGGTCTATTTGCACATGCTGAAGTAAGTGTGGAATGAAACAAGCAAAGCGAGCCTATCCTACAGAGGCTTTTCTGATGCAAAAATATTCACCTTGTAGAATACCCAGTGACCATTTATAGAACTGTGACATAAGCAGTTGGATTGTTCTGCTGGCCTGTGAAGCCTCTAATTCAATTTTTTAGTCACACATACATAAACAAAGGTTTCTGTTTCCGAGATCCTCATCTGTTGAAGTCTCAGGTGTTACAGGAAATTGCCATGCACTCTCTTGCTTCAGTTTTCTTGCTTTGATGTCAATCTGCATGTAAAATAAGGTGAAATCTTAATATCGTGAAGACATGAATACAGTTCTTGGGCTTGACAGCAGGGATAAGCTAGTTAGCTGGTGTATGTTGCTCATGTTTCATATTTTAGCTAACGCACTTGGAATAAAACTCTTAAGAGTGTATTCCCTCTTCGATGCACATGTGTAATTCCTTCTAACTTACACTGAAAGTACATGGTAGAATAAACCATCTAGTGCAAACACTGCATACCCCGTGCTGATGGCTTATGCAGCTCCTGGTTATTTGCAGAAGGTTTTTTTACCATGTTCCACATACAGATGATGTGAGGAGAAGGAAAAGCATATGTTCTCCCTTTGATATTTTTACCTGACACAAAATACTCTAGTCATAAAAATACCATGGGGATGCCCTCTTTTGGGCAGTAATTTTGTTTAGTGCTGTGATTTATTGTGGCTGCGAAAGTACCACAGCATCTATAAGTAAATTTAAATACACATTTTCAAGATCTTATTACAGAGGGCAAGAATAATCTCTATCTGCTTTTACTGCTAACAATTGCTAATTCAAACCTTGCAGTGCCCCATTTGTTGAATTATTACTGTACACATAGTGTAATCATACATTGTAAAAGGGGGAACCCTTCGTAAAAGCTGTCAACTTGTGAAGTATATGTAATATATATTACAATCATGATGTTAAATACATGAAACAAACAGCTGAGTGTCAAAATAATCTATCTTTACAGGGAAACACAGTACAAACTTTGTTAGCCGATACGATCCCAGGTTTAACAGCTGGATACAACTTCCACCCATGCAAGAGAGGTAAAAACCTGCTATGTGTTTTTCAATATATGTTTTATCATCCTAGGAGCAGCTGAAGTTTGGCTTAGTTCTGGGAGTAAGGAGGCCTACAGAAGCATTGAAAATACTGAGATAAAACTGCAGCATGCAGTTGCTTCCCATTTGTCTCCTAATTTTTTTAAACTTTCCAAATTCAAAACTGCAGATGCCAAATCCTGCAGGGATAACTCATGCAAGATAACCATGGACTTTGTGCAATTACCGGTTGCCTGAGTACGGTCTGAAGGATTTTTCTGAAGTCTTCATAGTGTCCTGTCATGTTCCCTGACTGAAGCGTCATGATGAGTTTGCAGTAAATAAGCAGTATAGTCAGATATCTTATAGGGAACTGAAACCTTCACATGTTGACTCCATCCTGTTTCACCATGCCAGCCATGAAAAGCTCTCCTCAACACCTCTAACCTTGTTAGAGGGCTCTTAATCCTATGTGGTCTTTGAGTGAAGCTGCTGTCAGCTAATGCCTAGTAGAGTAGCACGCATTTTAATCTTAACTGTGTAGTGAAGAGCAGAGGTGCATGTAGACTTGAGCAATGGCCAGTAAAGATGGCATAAACTTAACTCTGGATCCCAAATCCTACCTTGGCAGGTAAAAAGTCCTCCAAACCTGAACCAAATAATGCATGTTTCCTAAGAAGAATCTCAAAGGCAGAAGATCCAATGTTATAATGTTTTATGAAAGAGCATTCAATGTCCATCCTTCAGTTCAACACCCATCTTCTCATGAATCCAATGTACAAGAGATCTCACGCCACCTTCCTAAGACACTTCCCTCATTCCATGTGCTGTCAGTATTATCGCTCTCTTTCTGGTGGCTGCCCCCAGTGTTCAGGTGTCTGGCAGTCATAAATATATTGAACTTGGTGCAACCTTGCGATTCAAGGTGTATTACGACATGCATGGAAATATGGGTGTCCCTTCAAATTTTCAGAGGTAAAACGTCAGTCTGTAGAGTTTTTGAAGGGCCTTTGTTCAGTATTCAGCTTGATTGACCTAAGTCCATATGCAGACCCATGCACAATGCTTGTCACCAAAAAATACCGCATTGTACCACTGCATGAAAAAGCACAAGTGGAACGGATCTGAGGAGGTTCCCTGTTGGAGCTGAGTGAACTGATAAAATTAGCCATATAAATGGAGGTAAAAAAGAGCATCACGGTTCATTGTAGTCTCTGGCTTTATTAATAACATCATCCTTTACTTTAAAAATCCTTTACTAAAATTCCTTTTTCTTTTTTAGTTGTTAACAGAGCTAGGCCAACAGCAGGCTTTAGCTGAAGAGGTGGCCCTGCTTTGGCAGCCCCCAGCCTTCTCCCCCACTCCTGCCAGCACTGTGGGATAACCTCACAACTGGGTTACCTACCTTAAAACAGAGGGACGCCTTGCCGTCTTGTTCAACTCCCTGGACTGAGTCACCGCCGGCTCAGGTGTTGGCACGGGGGAGACAGAAGGTTTGCGTGAGATTGCACGTCGCCATGCAGGTCATCCTCAGTGAACTGGGAGGCTGACTAGTGTTTGTACGGAGCCTGAAGCTCTTCTGCGCAGCCTAATCTGTGTCCTAATTGGGCCCTCTGGGTATCTGCAAGCAAAACTCCTGAGGGGCACATGCGGCTGGCTGAACGGTTGGGCTTACTTGGCTGACAAAGCTCCGAAGGCAGAAGTAGGTAGTTGAGGGTTGGAGAAAACAGACAGTAGGAGTTTTTCCGCCTCCACAGTGGCCAGTTGTGTTTCAGTTTATAATCACAGGTATGGATTATGACTTGCCTTGTGCTCTGGTGGAAGCTGCCGCCTTCAGCCAAGGGTCAGAAACTCTGCTGCACATTGTGATTGCTTAGCAGCTGCCCGGTAATAAACTGTAATGTATTAGCATCTCAGCTCCTTACAGTGTTATTTAAATGTAATGGTCCACTCATACATAGTTCCTTCTGCAAAGGGCTTTACTATGACAACATTAATCATCACCTCTTTTGTTCAGGATACATAACTCATAGGCTTGCCCATTATTTCTCTATAAAGGCTCCTAAGCACTGGGGCTATTGTTGGAAAACGGGGATTTTCAAATCACTTTCTAAAATGTTTTTAATGGTTTATTTGCTCATCCCTAATGACTTCCTCAGAGCTGTTGCAGCATTTAGAGGTAGGGTCTGGTCCAGTTTTTACATCATACAAGCAAGAGAGAGCTTTTATGCAGTCTCCTTTCCCAGCTCCTTTAGTCAGATAAAGTTCCCATTAAAGTCAACAGGCTATTTTTTCCCCGCTAGGAGTACAGGGTCACGCCCTGTCTCTGCTGGCATAATGCAGGCACCACTGACAAGATGGACTGTTTAATGGGTTCTTCTGAGTCATTATGGTCCATCAAGTCAAAACCTACTTAGGAATTTTAGTCTGAGAATAATTGGCTGGAGAGACCGTAATAGTTCCTTTGAAATGACTGCCAGGTAAATGTGGGTCTCATTCACAGGCAGTACATTCTCAAGTTGAAAATCTGTATGAAATATTTGATGAGTAAACTTTTATCTCATATGCTAAAATCCATATCTGATTGATTTTACTGTATGAGCTATAAAGAAAAGTCTAATCCCGTTATGGATTCAGAGCCATCAGTGTATTTTCTTTAAAGCCAAGTTTGGTTTCTTTTCATTTGAAGAACATCTCAAAAATACATGCTTTTGAAAAGTACGTACTATTTTCAGGCGTGTGTTTAAAGAAGCAGCAAATGACTCATTGGCTTTTGAAATACACATCTGCCTGATGATGCAATAACAACGGGATGCTTTTTGGAGAGCAGTTCAGTTAGATTAACGTGCCTACTGAAGGAGTGGTCTTTGTAGCAGACGTATCTGAACTTGTGGCATGAGCCGCAACTGGACACCTCAGCCAGTACTGTTGCATCTTGCCAGCTCAGCCCAGAGCTGGACAAGGTGTGTGGAACATAATAACATTTAAAACACCTTTTTTCTTACGTTCTGAGTTAAAAGTTTTTATTTAAAGACCTGCAAAAAAACATTGCATTGTGCCAGGGCCTGAAGAAGCACAAGGGGAAATGAGTAGGTCAGCGTCCTCACTGAGGCCAAGTGAACTGAGAAAAGAAGCCACCGAAAAAGAGATAAAACAATTTCACATTTTATTTTAGTCTATGACTTTAATAATAGTAATGTTAACCCTTATTACGATTACTTTAATTTTTAAAAAGCAACGCATACACTCTAACAGTGACCCTGAAATCAGGTCCAGATATTGCGATGATCAGTAATAGCACTGGTAGTTTTAAACCTCAGAGTGGTAGTTGCATAAATTCATCATCTGTGGAAATCAGAAAGAAATTTTTCCCTTTTATGTGTGTGTACTTACGAGAAGAAGTTAGTTGGGTTGATTATTGAGTGAAGGGGTGTGAAGGAAAAGCATTTCAGAGATCAGTGAACGTCAAGTACTGGCAATCCTGAAGAAGACCAAAAAATAATTGTCTTATTGTCCATATTCAGATCCTGAGGTGGATTCCATTTATCTCATTAGAATGGATAGTCTCTTCCCAGTTTTGTGGGGAAAGTTGTCATGCAAAGATTGCTGTATTATATTTTAATATGAATCCTATTTTACAGCAGTTTAAAAAGTCATCACTTAGCAGCATGTCCCTTACACACTGTATCATTGAAAAGTAAAAAACCAAAAAGCTTAAAATACTTGGGCCAGGAGCTACTGAGTGAATATTCACATCCAAGGAGATGAGTGAAGCGTGCTGACGCTTTCATTTTTGCTCCTTACAGTGACACTGTGTGGATGAAACCAGGAGTACACGTACAGAATAATGTCAGTGAAATCCTAGTTAAAATAGTGATGCCTGCCAGTTGTACCTACCTCTGTTTCTCAAACCTGAACTAAAAAAAAACACGCTGAGAGCAGTTTGTTAACAGGTTTGTCAGAGGAGGTGTGCAAGGACAGGCCAGCAGACGTGTGAGCACCCCAGGCATTGCCGACAGGCACCCTGTGGGTTTGTGCCTTGCAGCTGCCGGACACAGGAGGGTTGGAGAGCATGTGCCACCCGTGCAGGCTCTCTGATGTCTAGTAGGATGTGACCTCTGCAGCTTTTCCTACTTTTGGGGCCATTACAGGCTGTCTTGCCTCTGGCCTGTCATATACTCTCAGGAAACATATAGGCACTTGATTGCCTCTAACACCTATACCCTCTGTCAAATTAGAGTGAAATCAGCCAGCAGGTTTTTGTTGAGGAGACAACACTCAGGCAGACATGGGTACACGTACAGTGTAATCAAATAAGCTTTGTTTCCATAGAAAATCAGGCTAAAAACATAGATGCACAATTTGCTGCCCGACCATGCGGAGCAATATATGCCATCAGCTTCTATCTGCCCATTGACAGATAAATTAAATGGTCTTATTTAATTCGTCGTCTGAGTTGGAGGCACTTAGCAGCATTCCTGTCCTCCTGTTTCTCTTTTCTTTTGGTAGCCTTATCCTTATGCTAGTGTTCCTGCTCAACAAGGGGTGCTCTCCCGCACTGTCCAAGTTGCCCATGTGCAGGCAAGATGAAAGCAAAGAGGTAGACAGGAGGTGCTCGGTGATGCAGCTCCTCACCAGCCAGGGTGAGGAGCCCTGTCGGGTGTGCACCAAATCCAAAACGTACAGCCAGAAACAGGCGGCGTTGTGTCAGGTCTGTTCCCTGAACTCCCGGCCAGCCCTGCGGTTTCCACGGCTGTATCTTCATGTCTGCCTGACCTCTCCTCCAACTTACAAACCATCAGCCACTCTCAGCCACATCTAACAAAGAGGGAAATTTCTCCAAAATGTTAAAGCATACTACTAATTTTGTGAAAATAGGCAGCTGGGTAAAGGAGGGAGGTCTTATTCCTGCCTTCACTGAAGGAAATACTCCTGAACATGTGCCTGGCTAGATGGCAGGTTAGAGACAGGGCACACCAGGCTTTGCTAGCTCACCTGGTCATGGGATGACTATAGGGAAGCCTGGGGAGGAGTTGGGAGATACCAGAGCTGTTCGTTGCAGGGTGTTGTGCTCTGTACATGGACCACTGCTCACCCCAAATGCTTTGCAGCGGTCTGCAGTGTCGAGCCCTTGATGGTGCAGGTGACCATCAAGCCCCCAAGATTTACTGTGCGATTCAGGAGTGCAATATGCAGCCACTCCCAGATATAAATTTGGGTACCTGGGCAGGAACCAGAGTGCGTTGTGTCAGCCACGGAGCAGGGTTTGGCAAGCTGCAGCCACACTCCAGCATGCCTCTTTTGCAGGAGCTATCAGAGATAGACCTTGCCATGCCTCACCTGCCTGCTTGTCTCTGGGCTCGCACACCACTCTGGTTTCACCCAAGAGAAAATTTGAGGTTTGGGACTGACAATTCTTGTCATTCAACATTTTGTACAGGTCTTCATCCTAGCCCAGCTGTGCTCTTTTGCAATTTTCTTTCTCATATCATTGCAACTTAAAATTAAAGGCCTCTATCCTAGCAAACCTTCCTGCTGCTGAATAATACAGGGAGCTTTCCCTGAAAGTGGATTACACCAAACAGGGTCTCAGAATCGTCTACTGTTCTATTTTTACTTCAGCAACAGACACTTACTGTTAATTTTGGAGGCACGAGGAAGACTAACTAATATATGCCTAGCAGTCCTGACCAGAAAAATTAATTATTTTCCTGCATACTTGAGTTGCATGTGAAAGCGGACAGGTGGCTAAAACTTTTCTCAGAGTTAGTAGGATGGAGACAGACCTCTTTTGAGCGAAAGGGCGGAAATGTAATATTGTGCCTAGTGTAAGGGAAGTTGTTCTATTTGCAGTACTGCAGAAAGAAGAAAAAAATTATAATTGGAGAAAAATTTTGATGATGTGGTTCTCTTAGTAAATTGGGAACAATGACCCTTGAAGGACCATAAAGAAAGTGAATGTCAAGATAATTTATTATTGTTATATTATCTACCTCATTTTTCACTTTGTCTTACTGAGTTGTTACATCCCTTACAAGGTAATGCCCCAAACATTAATGAGCACCTTTTTATCTTTCATGGGTGTGAAAAGGCAACAAACAGCTTTGAAAAGGGGTATTTTATGCCAGATTTATGTGTGCTTAATTGTTTTGACACCAAAAAAGAAATATTCATTTGATGTGGAGCATGTATTTGATTAGCAAAGCAGCCAGTCTCTAGGATAGCTGTAAGCATGTGAAGCTCCTGGACACTTCTGTCTGAAGTGGCGTTTGAAGGAGCGGCTATCTTAGTTCAGGGAGTCAGCTGGAGAGAGAAAAAACATGGTTGACCTGGCTAATTGGTTTGTTGTTGGCTTGTTTTGTTTTGTTCTGCCCTGTCCTCCAGGAGAGCCAGTTTCTACGCCTGTCGCCTTGACAAGAACTTGTATGTCATTGGTGGAAGAAACGAAACTGGCTACTTGTCCAGCGTGGAGTGCTACAATCTGGAGACCAACGAGTGGCGTTATGTGTCTTCGTTACCGCAACCTTTGGCAGCCCATGCAGGAGCCGTTCACAATGGCAAGATATATATTTCAGGCCAGTGTCTTTTCGAATTCCCGCTATATAACAAAAAAAACCCAACCCAAACCAACAACAACAAAAACCCAGAACCTAAAATCATAGAG